TCCAGCCATTCATGCCTTCTTACCAAAACCAAGCTTATTCATCTGTTATTCCTTCTGTCTGGAACGATCTATCCCAGATGTTTGGCCCTGTTGTGATTCAGGTCTCAGCTGAAACATCACTTCCTCCAGAGAGGTTTTTATCTGAGCACACAATCTAAATTAGCCCCTCTATTTTATTTCCTTTTAGCATTCATCACTATCTAAAATTATTGTTTATTTGTTTACATGTTTATTGCCTGTCTTCCCACACTAAGAGCAAGTGTTGTCTTCTCACTGTATCTGTGAAGCTTTTTAGGTAGTGCCTGGCACATAATTCACAGTGTAGTGGCTCAATAAATATTTGTTAGAAAGCATGAGCATAATAATGACTGATAACATGGAAGTCACTTTACCTTCTAAAAATTCTGAATGGGTGAAAAGACAGTACTATGAGTGACTGTGGCAAGTGATAATTAGCTAGACTTGGGTGATAAAGGTTCTTACCTTTGGTCTTAGAAAAAAGACTAGAAAACTATTTTTAACAAGATTATTTGAATTTATAGTCAGCTTTCTCCTTATTAATAAAAACTGTCTTCTGGAAATTTTAGAGCAAATATAGTAGTTGTATTCATAAGCAGAAACTCTAACAGGGTTGATTGACAATTTATAACTGACGAAATTAGCCAAGTGTAACAGTGAACCAATGAAGAATAGCAGTTCTAATGATCTACAAAATTAATAGTTTATAAATGCCAACAAAATCTATAACTAGAAAGCATTTCAACCTGCTTCTTGGGTCATAGTGATGAACGTGGAATAGTTCCTTTTAAAGGATTTATGTTTGTAGTGGTAAATCTGCCAAGGAAATTCATTTAAGAGTATCTGAGTGACCAGAAACATTCAATATAAACCTACTTATTTAGGCTTTTGAAAAGTGACATTTACTTAAATATTTTCACTTAAAACAGGTTAATATTTTTCATTGTGGATGTGTTATAGCAGAAATACGTGACTATAGGCAGTCCAGTAATATGAAATCTCCAGGTTACCAAAGTAGGCACATTCTCTTACGTCCAACAATGCAGGTAAGGAATCTTTAAGAAGAATTATTTTAGATTTTATTTGGAGTTTTATTTATTAAATGTCTTCATATGTTTGTATCCCTATATACTAATATTTTTTAAATTTTGATTTCTTCTAGACTTTAATCTGTGATGTACATTCAATAACAAGTGATAACCATAAATGGACCCAGGTTAGTTGTTTTGTTGTTTAATCATAAACAGGTAAAAGATAGGGTGAAACAGCACTTACAAATTAAGCAAAAGATACTTCTTATAATTTTATTTATGAGTAATGTTTGGGATTCCTTTATGAGCTTTAGAACTCTGTATATGCAGTAATCCCTCAAAGAACTAAAACAGTTCAGTCTCCTTTGCTTTAGGACATGGTGAAATAGGGTCAAGTTGACCTAATCTATTCAATGAAACAGTTTTTTCGTCTCCTCTCAAATAAGAAAGATACTTTGTGCCTTGGGTACAAATAGATAACTAATTTTATGTCATTTAGGATTCTAAAGCAGGCCTAGCCTGTCTTTTTGCCATGAATAATGGGGGAACCTCTCATACCCCTGAGAATAGCCAGTCTACCCTCCAGTGCTGGCTCAGTATACATGACGTACCCACTCAGGAATGTTCACTTATTTCTCTGCTACCATAGGGAAATAGTTGCTAAGCCAAAGAAAATAACAATAATTGGAATTCTTTAATTTGTAAAAATATGGTTACAAAGTAAGATTCAATTTATCAGTAACAAGTGTTATGTTTTAGTTTGGGGCTATAATCTTTGCATTTACAAGAAGGTTAAAGCTATTAAAAGAATGTTCAAAAACAAACTCATTAGTCACTATTGGAAGTTGTTACGGCATTACTTTCTTACTCTGAAAATTGACAAAAGAGAGAGTACAGTATTTATTTTGTTTTTCTTGTAAGAACTGTACATTAAGTAGCCAGATAGTAACTAAAGGAAATGCTCTAGAAAAATTTCAGCTAATAGGTTTAAAAGAAATGATAGGCTTTTAAAAATATCATCACTTGGAAATCTTAACTAATGACTCTAGACAGCTGAAATTCTTAGATGTGAAAAACCATTAGATTATAGTTCTTGAGAATTTTTATAATGCAGAGATCTGAAAAAGCCCATTGGTCTAAAATTGGGACAGTTGATCATTGCATGTTTCCTGGTGTGATGCGTGAGAAAGTACAGTATAGTACCATGAATTCTACTTGAAAAAATAGAACCTGAATCAAGTCTCTACATCTGACAGTTTGAGAATTCAGGGAAGAAAAACTATTAAATGACAAGATGAGGAAGTGACCAGTTAGATCCAGTTAAAAATAATACTATGAGGAAACAAGTGGTCAAATCCAGCAATTAATTGCATAGGAAAAGAAAACAGATGATTACTACAGAATAGAAAAATGTTTGAGAAGAAAATAAATACAATGTGTAGGCCACGTTTAAGTTCAAATTCAAACCAACTAAGAATACACTCTTGAGATAATGGGAAATTTAAATATAGACTGGATATTAGAAGTCCTTATTTTCAAGTGCATGCTGAAGTGTTTTCAGGTGAAATTACACAGTGTCAGAGATGTATTTTAAATTATTCCAGCAAAACAAAAACAAACCAAAAAAATGGATGTTGGTACGTGGGTGTCATTACACTTCTTTTTTTTATGTATTTTTGACAATTTTCATAATTAAAACTTGAATGGCACTATTAAAGAAGCAGTGTTTCTTTTTTTGCAGAAATTCTTAGCAATAATATTGACTTGTATGACTCTATAGCTACAGCTATTAAGACATTTCAGAGGTTACGTGGAAAAAGAAAGGATTTAGTAAAGTTATGTGATCCCAGTAAAAAGCCTGTATGCTCTTTGGAATTGGATGTGTAGGGTTTACACAGTCTTAGTGTAGTCATTTTGATTGTAATGAAATTAAGCTGGGCATAGAATGGTACTGTTGTCTCCTAGTTACTGAAAGTCCTGTGATCCATCTTGATCCTATAAGCTTTGGGGGAGAAGATTTTTATCTTTTTGTTCACAACTTTATCCCCAACTCTAGAACAGTGCCTAACAGAGTAGGTGCTTAGTAAATATTAGTTGTACTAAGAAATAGGCATCCATAATTTGACCTTTTTGTACACTGTATTAATTACTGAATTTCCATTATGCTCTCAAGTTTCTAAAGTTTACACACTGAATTGGAACTCCAAATAGTATATTTTACTGTAGTCCTTAGCAGAGTTCCAAGGAATATTTCTAGGTTAAGTGACATATGATTTGAAAATCTTAACTTCAGTATTGAAATGTGCTCTTACCCATTTCAGGAAGACAAACTTTTGCTTGAGAGCCAACTCATCCTAGCTACAGCTGCACCGCTGTGTCTTGATCCTTCTATAACTGTAACATGCACTGCAAACAGACTGCTCTATAACAAGCAAAAGATGAACACACGCCCAATGAAACGGTAATTACCTTTGTGGAAGGATAAACCAAAAGATGCTCCTTTAAGATAAGTAGCTCTAAATTTTGCTATTCATGGTGCTTTTCTCCTCGAAAGTAAGTGCTTTTTTAAAAAAAAAAAAAAAAGTTTTTAATTGCCTTGCATTTTTGCGAATTACAGTTTTTTAATACTCTTTTATATTGAAGTGGTACATTCTTTGTAGTCTTCTGAAGAACAGACTTCATATATACTTAGAGTCTATTCATTAAAAAGATAGAGACAAGTGTGAACAGAACAAATAATTTCTTTATCACTTCCTAACATCCAGTAACCAGTTTAAATTTTGTTAATATTGTAAAGCAATCATTTCGAGGTTTAGGAAAATGTGATCACAGTTTTAGAAGTCAGTTTATAACTAACTGCCTTCTTATAACATGGTAATGTGTCTTTAAATGTTTTAGCCATTTCTTATACTTAATAAAAGAATGCATATTAATTTGTAGTGCAGTTATAGTTGGCTCATCATTAAGTTTTCTTTACAAATTGAGTGTCCACTTTGGATCATCTTCAAGTATGAAGGGGCTTAAAAAAATTTATTCATTTTCTAAATCCCCTGTTTTACTATTGAAATAATATATGCTGAAGAAAAGGTACATCTTTGAAAATAGTAAAATAAGTCCATATCGGATCTATCAGCAGTACTGTGATATCTCCTTGTATCTTTGTCCACATTTCCCCGTGCCTAGTGCCGGTATCTTAGTCCAAGCCACCATCATCTTCATCTCGATTTCTGTAATAAACTCCTACCTAATTGGTCTTCCTGTTTCCCCCTTTCTTGCCTTCTGGTCTGATTGCCATCTAAGCAAACCAGAGGAACCTTTAACAATCTTCAAAGCATATCATGCCACTACTTGCTTAAATTTTCCTGAAATTATTCTGTTGCACTTTATACTAAATCTAAACACTTTATCATTGATCTGCAAGTCACCTGCTTTGCTCTCTAACCATACCTCCTATGTGTTATAGTCACACCTATCTTTTCTTTTTTTTTGAAACAAACCAAGTTTGTTTCTCCTCACTTTTTAAAATTCTTTCTGCTTCAAATACTCATTCCCTGATCTTTCCATAGCTGGTTCCTTCTTGTCATTCATGTCTCATCTCACACGCCATTTCTTCAGAGTCCTTCCCTTAACTAGTGTTGCCCTCCTATCGCTTCCTCAGCCACAGTATCCTCTACCCTATTTTTTTCTCCTTCTGCTTATTGCTATCTGAAATGGTCTTACCTGTTTACTTTTGAATGTCTTTCTTCCACACTGGACTATCAGCTCCATAATTGCAGGAATTTTGTCTGTCTTGTTCATTTTTATTATACCAGGGCCTAGGACATTGCTTGGCAAATGGTAGTATTTTACAAATACTTGTGATTTAATTATTATATTTATTGCTTATTTAAACCCATATTTATTCTGAATTTCTTTTATTAACTTTGTTTAGTTCACATCTCTTAATATTTCAGGTGTTTCAAGAGGTATTCCAGATCCTCTCTGAATCGACAGCAGGATCTGTCTCATTGTCCACCTCCTCCTCAGCTAAAATTACTTGATTTCTTACAAAAAAGAAAGGAAAGAAAAGCAGGTCAGCATTATGACCTCAAAATTTCTAAAGCAGGAAATGTAAGTGTGTGTATGTATATATATACATATATATATATTTTTTAAATTTACCTTACTGTTATGCCAAAAACCTTCCCTTATTTTGAATTTTCAGTATATTTATACTGTTTTTAATTTTTCAGTGTGTGGATATGTGGAAACGGAATCCCTGTAATTTGGCCATACCATCGGAAGTGGATGTAAGTCAGTTCATGAACCACACTTATTTTCATATAAGGTTAACAAATACTGGCTTATACTTCGGGAAAATAAAGAATCTTTTTTAAAAAACAAAATAAGTTTTTTTTTAAATCATCTGCTCAGTTTTAGAAGCTATATTCTTTCACCACATTAACCTGTGTAAGACTGTAAGACTGTAATACTCCTTAATTTAGTTCTGCATTTAGAGCAGGAATAATAACCAAAGAATTTTGAAATTTGGGGAAAGATGGTACATACTACATTATATGTGTAAAATGTCTCTGTTTTTTGTTTCATACTATCTTATCACAGTTTTCTGATAATGCTTCTTTCTTCAAACTGGGTAAATTTAAAAAATAATATTGGAGCAGTGGCCAAGATGAGGAACCTTGGATGGTATTCTTTGCTGATCCATAATACACATGAGCTATAAAATGCTTTAAAGACAGAAAAGAGATCTTTTGATGAGAGGTCCCGTTATGTCTTTTATTTTCTTCTGCATTCCTTTGTATTATTCATTCAACTCTTTATAATTGGTTAGGTTTCTTTATTTAAAAACATGTTTGCTCTTTTTCTGCATCCTTCTCAGGCTAGCACATGTACTATTCTTTTTATCTGTGATTTTTTTTTTAATTTGTGAAAAGCACAAAGCCAAAATCATCAGAAGTAGATGGTATATACAACTTGAGAGAGTAAGCCATCTTATTGTTTTGGTAACTTATATGCTTTTCCAGGAATCCAGTCTGAGAAGAGAGGTTTAGTGTAAATACCAAAGGGTGGAGTTTAGCTTTAGAGGACAGGGTGGCTATACAAAGCAGTGCTTCCCAAACTTTAATGTAAATACAAATCTTGCTTGTTAAAATGCAGATTCCAATTGAGCAAACTTGGACTTGAGCCTGAGATATTGTAGTGCTGACAAGCTCTTAGGTTGTGTGGAACTGGGGTCTACAGACCACACTTTAAGTAACAAAACTTTAATACAAAATTTCTCAGTCTAACTGATCAGAAGAATAATTTAGGGTGCCCGTTAAACATACAGAGACAGGCCCCACTTCACACCTGCTTACTGAGTCAGGTCTCCAGGGGCGGGACATAGAAATCTAAATTTTTACTAAGTGCTCAGGTGCATCTGTTACTCTTAAGATCATGGTTACCAGGAAGATAACGAGCATTTGATTTGCACAGACTAATAGGAAATATACAAAATATACGGCCCAAGTCTGACTAGAAAATGGAAAATGTTCATAAAAATTTTATCAATTATAATTTTACTGTTCTAGTTGCCTTCTACTTTTGTCCCCACTGTTACATGACAACTCTCATTTCATTGAAAACCCAGCCAAAGGAGAAGGTCCTGGTCCTAATCACCTCTCTGACACTCCATTCTTCCTGACAGTTTTCCTGAAGGACAAATGTTTTATCAGTTTATGGAATAAAAAGAGGCACTGTCCAAGAAAGCACCTTGTTTATTATGTTTATTTAGTGGCAAGGAGGTTCTAATTTTGTTTTATTTTTAAAACCAGTTTAATTTAAATGTATCAGTAGAGTTTTAAATTACTTAAGCAAAGTAGTTGATGATGTTAGTGATTTAATAATTCTCATGCTAGAAAGTATACAGTTAAGTTAGATTCTTCTCTTTGGTCATAATATTGATTCCATTATATCCGGTGTCTCTTGGTTTGATTGCTTAGGTGGAGAAATATGCTAAAGTGGAAAAGTCTATCAAATCTGATGACTCACAACCAACAGTTTGGCCAGCCCATGTAAGTAACCGTTACAGTCCTAATTTCTAATGATGCTGTTTCTAATGTGGGGTCTGAATTTATTAAACATGAAGTACAGGTTCCTTTAGTTTGGGATTTTTTTTGACAGTTTTCTTTTTTTCAATGAGTTGACATTCAATATTATATTAGTTTCAGGTGTACAGCATAGTGGTTAGACATTTGGGATCTTTTTAAAAGGACTTTCTGGGTGGTCATTAAATTAAAAGAAGGAACAATTATTTAGTTTTGTCTTGTAAGGTATGGTTTCCAGTTTAAAAGCCAATTTTACTTTTGGTGTCATTTTGGTAATTCTGATATGTTTTTCAAGTTAGTAACTAGTAAATTCTAAGTATGTCTTTTAAGAGAAATATTCTCTAAGTTTTTCTATCTGCAATAACTTCTTAAAGGAAGAAATAGACACAATGTATTGACTAAAGTGAATCTAAGAGTGAAATGATGAGAGATGTATGTGCAATAGTAAAAAGACTAATGACAAATAGAAACAGATCTGCCTTCGAAAGTTTTATTCTCTTAATGTTTACATCCATATATATGAACTTATGCTGTATTTGTTACCTTAATCTCCTAGTGGAACTCTCATTTGCAAAGTATCACGTGAAAAAGAATTCTGGGCTTTATTCTCTCAGGCAGTCTTAAACAGGTTTATATCCTATGTGCCATATGTTTTCCTATTGGCAGATGTGTTTTGTGTCATTTATACTTGATTTTTGTTAATTCCATATATGTTTACTGATGATTTTTATCTAGGTGTCCACAAGAAATTTCAAACCTAAAGAAATGTTTTAAAAAGTTTATTTGAGCCAGAACTGAGGGCCAGACCCAGAAGCAAAATCTCAAGGCTTGATAATATGCCCTAAAGAATAGCAGTTTTATAGTTTATTTTATACATTAGAATAAAAGAAGGCAGAAGAAAGGTTACATTAAATCCATTGGTTAAAGAGGCAGGAGAAGGTAAATTGGGAAAATCTAGGATTGGATAAAAAGTAAAACGGGGATATACATATTTCTTTTACATTGGTGGCTGCAGGATTGCTAACCTACGTGGTTTACAGAGGTATGTGGGTAAAAGATAATCGTAAAGAATTTGGGGGTCTCATCCCAGCACTGGGGTGTTTGGAGATCTGGAGAAAATATTGTTCTGACCCTTAAGTATGTTATCCAAGATGCACAAAAACAGTGGATAAGGTTTGTTCAAAGTAAAGATTATCATATTTCAAAGTAAAAATTATCATATAGGCCTTCATTATAACATACTCTATTAGTTTTTATGATCAGAACATCCCCTGTGGTTACTTTCAGTTACTGAGTTTTTCAGGCTCTGCTAGGTGGCCCCTTTTCATTCATACTGGGATGCTCTGCCTTTTATAGGATATAAAAGATGATTATGTGTTTGAATGTGAAGCCGGTAATCAGTATCAGAAAACAAAGCTGACCATTTTGCAATCACTTGGTGATCCACTTTACTATGGTAAAATTCAGCCATGTAAAGATGATGAAGAAAGTGACAGCCAGACGTCTCCATCCCAGTGAGTGTTCTGTTAAATATATTTAATTTACAAAAATCAGCCATCAGATTTTATTTAGCAACTACTGATAAACTGTTAATGAATACAAATTTCCCCTTGGAGATTCATTTGTTAATTAAATACTTCAATTAGATTTGGCAGTAGACCTAAGTAAGCTTAAATTGTAGATACCATGCTGTCCAAGAGTTATTTATAATAACAGTAAATGAAAAAAACTAATAGCATAATTTATACTAGCTTTGAAGGAAATGCCTATGAAATATCCCTCTTGATATATTTAAGTGTTGTCATTTAGACTTTAACCTCTCTGTGAGCTTGAGGTGTTTCCGGGTAATGGTCTATTTAAATGAGAAGCAAGTTTACTATATATGTAAAATCTGTTGAAGATGCTAGGTATTTCAGCACTACATTAAGGACTCAGTGCTTAATGTAGTTATTGGCTCTAGAAATATGTATAGTTGATCTTCCTAAATTTAGGAGCTATGTGTATTTAGTACAAGCTACCAGTATTTCGTTTTGTTTTTATTTTTACCTTTTTAATCAAATTGATGCTGTTTTGAAAAGAAGTAAAAAGGAGCTCAGCAGAAAAAAAGCAGGGGCCAGGTCTATGTTAAGTCATTTACAAAACATTTACTTACACAAAATACTAATTGAAATTGGAGCAGAAAGATTTTACAGAATAAACCTCACCATTACCTAAATAAAAGTCGATGGAAGGGAAATGGTAGCAGTCAGGGAATCCTTAGCTAATTTTTTCACATAGCAGTGTTCTGTTGCATAATAAGTGAAAGATCAGTTATTTTGATTACTTACCTATATTAAAAAAAAATTTTTTCCCTTAAAGATACACATTGATCATTTTAAATAAATTTATTAACTTTTCTTGAGCACGGGGCATGTAACATGTTCTCATTTAAAACAAAATCAGTTCAAAAAAGGCAAATTAGATTTGTTTGACAAGAAAATTGTTTGCTTTTATATCAGGGAGTTGCTGCAAAAATGCTGTGTGATTATTACCTTCCAATCATTCTCCAGACTCATAAATTATTTGATTTAATGATGAAGTTAAAGTTTTTAACCAGGTTTTTTCTTTTTACATTTACCAGGTTTTTTTCTTTTTACATTTTTTATTTCAGCTTTTTCTTTTAACCAGGTTTTTTCTTTTTACATTTTTTATTTCAGCTCCTCCACAGATGATCATTCAAATTGGTAATTAAAAAATAAGCTCATTCTTTTAATTTGTTAAGATATCATGTAAATGTCAAACTCTTTAAAAAGACTTAGTAAAGACATCTTATCTGAATTAGCAATAAACTATTCTTGTCTAAAATATATTCTGTGGTCTTGCTGTGTAGACTAATGACTTCCAAAGTCAAAGGTTAAAAGTGAGGTTAAAATCAAAGGCTTTGCAAATGTAGTTCAGTGAATTTTGCTGTAGGTGAGATACTTGCAAGAATGTATATAACTTTCCAAATTTTATGACACTTAAAGTTTCATACCAAAATAAATCTCTCTTTAAATCAGTCATATTATTCACAGAATTGTTTTATTGCATGCAAACCTTGGTTATTCCTTCAGTAGTTTAAATGTATTTTAAAATTTTTTTGTCATATCTTGGTAGATTTTAACTCAATTTATAAAATTACTTTCACTAAAATATGTATGGTAGCTAGCCTTCAAAAGTAAGCCCAGAGCTCCTTAAGAGAACTCTTATGTAATACTTTTCTCTTTTTTCTTTTTAAAACATTTTAGGTTTATTATTGGATCAAAGACTGATGCTGAGAGGTAAAAATACTAGCGTCTTGATATTTGATCTGGATGGATATGAAGAACTTTCTTCTTAGAGGATAGAGAGTACTCCATTAGGCGTCAAAGCTTTGATTTTAGTTATGCCATAGGTATTACTAGGATTTAAAAAAACAGAATTAGGAAAACAACAACTGAATAATGTTTAAAATAGTCTTATTTTAAATAAGAAAACTTAGACATAGCTGTTGTAGGTAAGGAAGATGATTTCCAGGTAGCACTTTAATCAGAATGTAAGTGAAAGTGGTAATTTTTTTGGCTGCTTATTGGTTAAATAATCCTGTAATTTCTGTATTGGAAGATACTGAAAATATCTTCCAATACAGATAACACACTTTAGATTGTTAATTTAAATGCAAAATGTTTTGAGCATTAGCTTGTCGATTGAAAAGATTAGAAGAAAGTACTTTTAATAAAAAGGTAAATTGCCAGATTTTAATTTTTTTGTTAATTTTGATGGAACATTTTTAATTGACAGTTATTATTTTCTGTGTAGTAAATTTATGTTTAAAAGAATTAATTAATTCTTACTTTTTTTCCCTAATATTTCAGGGTAGTCAGTCAGTACCAGGAACTGGTCCAGAATGAAGCCAAGTGTCCGGTCAAGATGTCGCACAGCTCCAGTGGCTCAGCCAGCCTGAGTCAGCTTTCTCCAGGGAAAGAAGCAGAAGTGTGTTTGTTTACTTTTTTGCACCTAACATTTTTCGTACTGTTGATTTTTGTGTCTAATTGTTTCTAAAGTAATCTGAGAAATGTTAAGGACTATTTTTTGAGGGGTGGAGGTATTTAATTTTATTTTTACTTTTAACTTTTTTTATTATTTAACTTTTTATAATGGAAATTTTTAAATGTACACGAAGGTAGAGCAAAAAGTATAATGAACACCCGTGTATACTAGTCACTTGGCTTCAACAGTTATTACTTTCCTAGAAAAGATTTAAGGATGAAACTTTGTCTTCATCTTATTCTTCTGCTCTTCCCCCTCAAGCTCCCCACACTTTTACTCAAATGTTTCCTCCATTCTTTACACGCTGTCGGTTATTTTATGGACTTTCTTATGTGAAATTATATTCTTCTGTAACATCTGTAATATCCAACCTATAATCACTAAGGGTGCTTTGCAAAGTTTTAAATTGAGTTCACCTATGAGTTAGAGTGGTATTAATTTATGAATTACTGATTTGGCCATAACTAATAAGTATACTTTGCATCACTGTCCTTTAGCAGCCCGAGACCATGTCGGTTCAGTCTTCAGTACTGGGGAAAGGAGTAAAACATCGACCTCCACCCATCAAACTTCCCTCAAGCTCAGGAAATAGTTTCTCAGGTATGACATTTCTTAATTTTCTGTAATCATAATCTGTTTTTAAAACTTTACTCATATTTTGATATTCACAGGATTTTTAATTAGAAATTTAGGAAATGGCTTTTATATTCTTCTAGGTAACTATTTTACGCCACAGCAGGCCAGCAGCTTTCTGAAATCTCCAACTCCTCCTCCCGCTTCTAAGCCACCAAGTCTTTCTCGAAAGTCATCTGTGGATCTCAATCAAGGTAGCATGCTTTCTCCAGCTGCCCTGTCACCTGCCAGTTCATCACAAAGTGAGTCATAATGTAAATTCTTCATTAACTTTTCATAAGCTTTAGTGTGTTTCTTAAGACACCTTTTTTTGACCAGTGGAATAGTGAAATCTGAAAGTACTGTGTACCCAAAATATGTAAGTTTTGAGAACCTTCAGACTTCTTGTTGATTGTATGTATTATGTGTTTAATGTAATTGTATGTTTTTCTGTATGTATGCACTTTGTGTATACCTTTCTTATAGACTTAAAACCTACACATCTCCTTTAAAAAAATACTTGATAGTTAAATGTGGCAATAAGATTCCAAATACTTTTTAGGACCATTTTACATTTTATGTAAACTAGGCAGCTTATATGAAAAAAAAAGTCATAACAGTTGTTGCTGCAATCTTAAGAATATTTGTATATGTAAGAAGCCAATTAGTTCCAAGGTGGTGATAAAATAAACTGAAAGCCAGTTTTTCAGAAACACTCCTACACTCTTATAAATTGTTGTCAATTACTAAAACCTGGTGATGATCATAAAGCATTATTCTGAAGAAATTAAAATGTACTGAATACTTTTTCTTTTTTTCTTTTTTTCTTTTTCTTTTTTTTCTTTTTTTCTTTTTTCTTTTTTTTTTTTTACCATCAGGAAGAGTTATATTAGAATTCTAGCATTAGTTTGGGAGAATTTCTTCGGATTAATAAGTACCTGAGATATTTAGGTACCAATTTGCAAAAAAGCATTTCCATTTTTTTAGATATTTTTTTAATCGATAACTAAAGTGTGCTGAACATTTTAGTGCACTGCACAGTGATAGGGTGGTCTTTGCATTAGATAGAAACATCTTCATCCTGATAGCTCAAAAGGTGTAATTTTTCTGCCTTCTTGTTTTGCACAAAGAAAAATTTATAAATTTCCTGAAAGTCTTATTCACACTTCTTATGTTGTGGGTATGGATTATGTTAATCTACTGCACACAGTTGTTACTTTAAGTAAGGGTTGAGTGACAGCTTCTGGACATTCACATTTCTTTCCTTTCTTTCTGCAGGACATGAAAGCTAAAAAAGAAAACACCTCAAGAGCTTTTGGTTTTATTTTTTTGTTTTTTGTTTTTTATTTTTTTATTTTTTTTTTAAAGTTGATAAACTGTGCATACTTCATTCACAACAGATTTTCTATACATTCTACATTTAAACAGAAGTACACAGTTACTGTTAAAGATGCAGTATTATCTATCAAATATTTACTTTATAACTGTTTTTGTAAATTTTCAGGATAAACTTGATGTGTTAGGAATTAAACATGTTTAGGTGCCAAATATGATTGTTAACCATATATAATTTATTAAATATGTTGAGTTTATCTCAGACTGTTAGAGAAAATAAGCAATATTTTTAAATGAAGTCCTAAATTAGTGAAATCATAAGTAACAAAAATTAATTTGAATTCCTTTTAAACTTTTAGGCCAAAGGTAGCATATAGGAAAATAACTTTTAAAGGAGTACTGTGGTAGAATACAAATGTATATTTTTACTGTTACTGTAATAGTATCGAATGGGATTTTTAGGTGATATACTGCATCCTTAATTGTAATTGAGTGTAGCAACACTCATGTATCATGTGTAGAAATTAACACTTGCAGTTAACTGCTTAAAAAAACTGAAACAAATTGTCAGTGCTAAGTAAGATTCCATTAACCTTCTTTTAAAAAGGACTGGCCATTTATAACAAACTAGCAATTTTTATTTTTCTCAATGAGCAGGATCTGGAACTCCTAAGCCATCTACTCCTACACCAACCCCTTCATCGGCCCCACACCCTCCTGATGCTCAGAGCTCAACTCCTATTGCCCCTTCAGCCACCCCTACTCCCCAAGATTCAGGCTTCACCTCTCAGCCCACTTTGTTAACTCAGTTTGCTCAGCAGCAAAGGTCTCTGAGCCAGGCAATGCCTGTAACAACCATTCCTCTTTCCACCATGGTAACATCTATAACTCCAGGAACCACAGCCACCCAGGTCATGGCAAACTCTGCTGGACTTAACTTCATCAATGTAGTGGGCTCTGTTTGGTAAGTTTACATCGATGCCCTGATTTTTTTTTTTAAAGATGCTCTTACCAATCTGAATGAATTCTTATTTATGAAGTTAAGAACAAATTATTACTGAAACTAGAAAGAAAATAGATAGGCTAGAAGCAGTCTCAACAAGTATGTTTTATTTTAGGTGTTACATCTATTACCTGCACTAAGACAGTACTACTACACATCAACCGTAGTAGTTTTAGATTTTCCTGTTTGTCCTCCATCACCATTTTTTAATAACTTGATTGGTGCTTTACTCTTTCAAATTATGTTTTAAACCTTGATAAATATATATAGAGTACCTAATTTTAGCCAACCTTGGTGTCACTTTTCAGCATAAAAAAATGAAACAGCTTTAAATTGATATTTAAGATAGGATTATGTAATTGTGTGTGTTGAGTCGTTTGTTTTTTAATCTGAGAAATTATTATGTGGCTGATTTTTCCTTTTGTAGTGCAAGTTTAATGCTTTGTTGTTTTCTTCTGCAGTGGAGCTCAGGCTTTAATGAGTGGTTCAAACCCTATGCTGGGCTGTAACACTGGTGCCATAACTCCTGCAGGAATAAACTTGAGTGGCCTTCTTCCCTCAGGAGGCCTGCTACCAAATGCATTGCCTGGTGCAATGCAGGCAGCTTCTCAAGCAGGTCAGAATATTGGAAATAATAATCTCTAAAAAAATTAAAGTACGTGCTAATGCAAAAACATCATTTTAAGGGTATTATTAAAGCCAATTTAACTTTCTTATTTCATGAAGTATCATGTGAAAAAGGCTTTTTAAATGAAAGGCTTTCATTTCAAAAGTCTTTAAAGTTCTGATACTTGAATTAAAAACCATCTAGCATTTAACTTTTGTTAAGAAACTAGCTAAGCCTGTAAGTCTATGCATATTGTATCTTTGCCTTCCAAACATCATAATAAAATTAACATTGATAGTCTTATTGTTGTCAGTGTAGTCTTATTCCAATGAAAGAAATATATTTTGAAAACATACCTTGTGCAAGAAAGGCAACATAGCATGGCAGTTAAAAGCTGAGGTCCTGGAGCCAGATGCCTGAATTTGAGTCCTGGTTGTGCAGCTTACTAGCTGTGTAATCGTGGGGAAGCTGCCTTTGTGCCTCATTTTTCTCATAAATATAATAGGAATAATAATACTTTACACCTCATAATTGTGAAGATTAAATGAGTATATAGAAATGAAGCATTGTAGACCTAAGCATTCAAAAGTATTGTCATTATCATCATTAGCAGTAGGAGTTGTAGCAGAGTAGTATTTATTACATGTACTAGAAAACAGTTCCAACTACTTGTGTGTGTTATTTTTTAGTGCTCTTTAAGAGAATATAATATCTTGGAACAGTCCAGTTTCTTAACTGGTAAAACAAACGACATAGAAAAATTCATTAAAAACTTGTATGACTTAAGAAAGAGAACCTAAAGAATATCATTTACATACGTTACAGATTGTTGTGATTTCCTAATTCTGGCCAGTGTTCTTACTTTCATGTGCATAAATGTGGAAATGGAATCAAATGTTGAATTTAGAATATATTTACATGTAACTCCCAGTTACATGTGGCTCCAGATGCTATGGAGCCTAAAAGAAGTCAGTTTTTCTCCCTTAGCCTGTTTCATTTGCTCTAAAAGGGGAGTAAAGATATCTAACAATAGTAGGTACTTATGAAAAATAAATGAATGATATGAAAGTGCCTTTGGTAAGCTATAAAGCGTTATACAGATGTCATCTACCTTTAAAGGGAATTATGTTAGTTCTTATGAGAATTCCTGAGGAAAATCAGTATTGCCATATTTTCATCTGATTATGCTATCAACAGTGAATTTCCTGCCTCTTATTTATTTATTTATTTTAATACAAGCACCTGCTTAGAGGACTAGATACTTCTTAAATTAGTGTACAAATCATGTATATCGTTAGTGAGCAAAACACGTACTTTGAGCCCAGGGTCAGCAAACTACAGCCTATAGTCCAAGCTAAGAATGACGTTAGAAGATATATTTAAAACTAAAACAAAACAAACAAACAAAAAGACTATGCAACAGTGGATATATGTGTCCAGCAAAGCCTACTGAAAAAGTTTGCCAATCTTCTCTGCTTTATGTTGTGTCACAGATTTGGGAGGAATAAGTTCAGAATTAGCATAGCATTGATTCTGACTTTCAGGTTTGATCCTCACACACAAAATTCACCGTTCTTCGGCATTATTACCAGCATTGGTACTTTAATATTTAATAGCACCAGAGCACGCCGATTCTTAAAGATACGATTATCGTATACGGTAGCACTGCCAGGAGATTCCAACACTGAAAATTTGCATATGCACAACTGTGACAGTTTAATTATATTTCTGGTCTCTACATACTTCTAGGTATAACAGTCAAAGTAGTGATAAAGAAGTCTCGGTTTCTGAAATATGGAATAAAATGTACATGTGGTGCTCCACATCTTTGGTCTCAGTATTGATGGAAATTAGTGAAAACACTTTTTGTTTTTAAGATATTTTAAAAGTATAGGAAATGAAGCATATCTATGGAGAAAGTCCTTGAAATATATACAAAAGTATTAAATATTTTCAAGTGTAATAGTTTTAATTCCCTGTTATAACCATGAGTTGTATTTAACAGGTGTTCCATTTGGTTTAAAAAATACTTCAAGTCTCAGGCCCTTAAATCTACTCCAGGTAAACCTGAAACACTGCTTTTGATTAGTTTTTATACTTTGATTTTTTTAACAGTGTATATTTGTATGTATTAGCACTTGAAATTTTAAGATGGTTCAGAATCTAATGAGGGTGTGGTTAATCATTGCTACCTGTGCATGGTCAAGTGGGTAGGAGAAAGAATGGGTACCCTATACATCACACTTTGCTGCTGAATCAAAAACTAGCTGTTGTAGTGCGGAGAATTGACAACTAGCAAGGAGAATACTTGCCGACAGTAGCAGCAGTAGGTATACTTAGAAAGTAATTCCTCTCTCAATAGACATTTTATGCATAAATATATGTATTGCTTTTTGCTTACAACAGATTTTGTGCTTGAAGTAGACATTTTAAAAAATAGGTATGTGTTCTTTTCCTGAGAATGATTTCTTAGCACAGTGCCAGGCACCTGTCATTCAGTAAATGTTAGATTAAGCTTTTGTCTAATGACGAGGTTTTTCTTTACATATTATCAGTGTCAAAGAGATCGAAGGTGGAAAATTAGTTCACATTGTGTGTGACTCAGTATTTGGGTGAGTCATGCTTTAGGTCCTTTAAGGATGGCATCTAGTATTAACCTACATTGGAAAACGAATTATCTACATAGAATTTTTAGAAAAGGTAGACATGTATAAGATCTGGAGACCAAATGGCAGAGCTGTGCATTATTGGGAAATAACAGACTGATCAACCCAAACTGGTATTCAGAGATAACAAATGAGGAAATGTGTTTACAATCAAAACTTAAAAACTTATTTCTTTATCCAAGATGCAAACTGTGTCAGTATTATAGACTATACTTGCAGAACAATTTGCTTGTAATTTGGGCAAGCCACAGATCACGTTGGTTTATTAGCCAGCATTTCTGTGTGTTGCTGTTGGAATTTCTCTTAGGGCTTAGTCTCAGTAATGAGGAGTGGAATTCCTTAGTAGAACTAATAATAAGGAATAAGAACAATGCCACTTTATAAATTAATTACATTTTGTAACATTTATTATCTGACTCATTGAGGAAGGAAAATTTGACCTGTGTTATGTCCAAATTCACCCAACAATGAGCTATACTAGGTGTAGAGATTTTTGACTCAGGAACATCTTTTTTTGACTACAGACTGAAGAGATCTGTATTTGGTATTTACTTGGACTTTTTCCTAAGTACTTCAATGTGCTTATAACTTAAACCCCTCCAGAATAACATGGAAAAACCATTTGTTTCCTGATGCATTTGGAATGTGTAGTTTTAATTTTTAATATGGAGTTTTCTGCCTTTTAAAACGTTTTTTACAAGAATATGAATTAATTTAGGTTCACGATAACAGAGCAAGTAATGTCTCCAAACTAAATGTGGACATCTAATGGACTTTATTTCCAGCTTTGGAATTTCTCATATAGTATAGTGTATAAGCATCCATGCATTTCATTTGGCAAAGCTAAAATAAATCTTGAGAGATGAATTTTCACAAATGTATATCTGATTTTTCACTAGCTTTTTGTTTACACTTTCTAATGCACTTGATGCTATTTTGTATTGAGGCATAAGAAGAGTTAAATAAAAGCAGTGCGTATCTGGGTATCTAACGTGAAGCAGGAAGATTTATGTTTGAGAGTATTAACATACTCTAGAGTCCTCAGTAATAGCCCTTAAAAATTATTTTTAAATAGACCTTTTTTTTAAGGGCAGGTATCTTGTTTTCATTTTTGTTCACTGCTTCCTCAGTCCCTAGAAGAATGCCTGACACAGGGAATTCTCCAAAATTATTTGTGGAATAAAGAAATTTAAATATGTGAAATTGGCTAATTCTTGTTTAAATTCTTAATAGCTTCCAGGTGGTTCACTAATTTTCAACACTCTGCAGCAACAGCAGCAGCAGCAGCAGCAGCAGCAGCAACAGCAGCAGCAACAGCAACAGCAACAGCAGCTTTCCCAGTTTACACCCCAGCAACCTCAGCAGCCCACAACTTCTAGTCCTCAACAGCCAGGGGAGCAGGTATATGCTTTTCTGTTTTCCATATGTTTCGTATTGTAACTTTTTTTGTTATTCTGAACATATTTCAAGTTCTTTTATTTACTTTGTTTCAACAAACATTTCTTATACTGTTTTTCTTTATTAACAGTAGTAGCAGTCTGTTATTGGGTTCCTACTTTTAATTCTCAGGACAGCCATACTGAATACATTATGTCACTTTCATCTTTCATGGTATGAAAAAATTCAGATGAATAACTTGCTCAGGGCCATACAGTGAATTGGCAGAGCAGGGATTCAAACCCAGGCTTATATTTTCTACCTAGTCCTCATCCTTCTGTTTATAGTATTTTATCTCTACTTGAATAGAGATGTCCCTATTATCATGAAGCTTAGGGCAGAGGGGAGATAGACAAAAAGAAATATTTGTATATTGTCAAACAATGAAATTTAAGAACTGCAGTGAATTTAAAGTAGAAGGAACTACAGATTTTTCTGAACCTTTGCTACACTTTGGAATCTTCTTGGAAACTAAAAGATACTGAAACCTGGGTCCCACACCCAGCATTTCTCTTAGCTCACAATTAAATATGACATTTTACCATCAGTCGTTCTAAATATTCCTTTACAAGCTATGTACCTTTTATTTCCTTTTCCGATGTAATGTGCTTACTAGAAATTCCAAAACTACGTTGCAAAAAGGGTTTTAAGCTTTAAAAAATAGATTTGACAAAGCTTTACAGAGAAGCCTTAGGAATTATTAATAGAACATCAAATAATAAACCAAAATAATCAATTATGAAAAATTAGGTTTTATTCCTTTCAAAATACCATAAATTCATTCTTGCTAATTCTAAATACCTTTTAAGTCTTTTCATTATGTTACTCTTTTTACAAGACTTAGTCTAATGTTGATATTTTTTTCTTATATAGGAAAAAATACAATTTCTTTTTACCAACACTAACTTTTTCTTTTTTTACAAGTAATGTATTTTTTTATTCAGGGTTCTGAACAAGGTTTAACCAGTCAAGAACAGGCCTTATCTGCTCAGCATGCTGCTGCTGTTAATCTTGCTGGAGTAGGAAGTTTTATGCAGTCACAGGGAGCTGGTTGGTATCTTCTTAACTCCATAAATTGAATTTCCTAAGTATCTAATCTAGTTGGGAATCTCCTCTTTTTAGTTTCTTCTTTTCCTTCTCTTGCAAGCATTAACTAGGAAAAAGTATAGTTGTATTTAATATGTCAACTATTAAATCGACTGATAGCCCGCCAAGATTTTTTTCCATTGACAGTAATTAAAAGTTCTACATATGTTAACAGCAGTTGTGTTTTCCTCGTTAGGATTTGTTGGCAAAATTTTAAACAATTATGCAGCAGCTTATTAAGAAGCTACCAAAGCTGTTTAATTAACTCTTCAGTTTTCCTGGGTTGTTGAGACTGCATTTATAGATTATATAATCTATTGTCTCATTCTGGTAGCTTATAGTTACGCAAATTAAGATCTAATGTCAGTAGCATAACTTCTGTAAGCAACTTTTTTCTCATTTGTAAAAAATGAGATTATACTAAATGACTGCTTACCACTTCCAACAGTAAATGGTAAACCAAAGATTTACCTTTATTGAAGATTGTCTACAAGGACGATACTTTTAACTTCACATTTCATTAAAATCAATAAGCTACATGTATAATAAGCCGTGGTAGTTTGAATGAGTGATCATGTTGGTAACATTATGAATTATCACTAGGCTTACTATACTTTTAGAATCCTGTATAGCTCCCAGTATGTGAATTTAGAACAAGGTCTTATGTACAGTTCTAATTTAGAATTAATGAATTTCCAAATGGAGATTTATGATTATTAATCTACCGCACATTCTGTATTTTCTAAAATGGTGGTATAATTTAGTGGAAAGAACTCTAGGCTGAAAAATCTTACGATCCTTGCTCCAGACCTACCACTAATTGCTTTTGAGTGAGTCACTCAAACCATCTAGGCCTGATATTTCCTCATCTCTATGGGGAAAGGGTTGAACTGATTATTGTGGTCCCACTCAGCTCAAAAAGGAGTAATGCAGTCTCAGTTCACCATGTTTGTTGCTAATGGTATATTCTGGTAACTCATTTCAATATATTTGTTTAAAGCACTTAACGTACAGTATCTACCAGTTTTGTCATTATGGTAGCTTGGATTTCTCCCAATCCCTTTTCTTCTTCACTGGTTATATTTTCACTCTGCAGCAACAGCAGCAGCAGCAGCAGCAGCAGCAGCAACAGCAGCAGCAACAGCAACAGCAACAGCAGCAACAGCAACAGCAGCTTTCCCAGTTTACACCCCAGCAACCTCAGCAGCCCACAACTTCTAGTCCTCAACAGCCAGGGGAGCAGGTATATGCTTTTCTGTTTTCCATATGTTTCGTATTGTAACTTTTTTTGTTATTCTGAACATATTTCAAGTTCTTTTATTTACTTTGTTTCAACAAACATTTCTTATACTGTTTTTCTTTATTAACAGTAGTAGCAGTCTGTTATTGGGTTCCTACTTTTAATTCTCAGGACAGCCATACTGAATACATTATGTCACTTTCATCTTTCATGGTATGAAAAAATTCAGATGAATAACTTGCTCAGGGCCATACAGTGAATTGGCAGAGCAGGGATTCAAACCCAGGCTTATATTTTCTACCTAGTCCTCATCCTTCTGTTTATAGTATTTTATCTCTACTTGAATAGAGATGTCCCTATTATCATGAAGCTTAGGGCAGAGGGGAGATAGACAAAAAGAAATATTTGTATATTGTCAAACAATGAAATTTAAGAACTGCAGTGAATTTAAAGTAGAAGGAACTACAGATTTTTCTGAACCTTTGCTACACTTTGGAATCTTCTTGGAAACTAAAAGATACTGAAACCTGGGTCCCACACCCAGCATTTCTCTTAGCTCACAATTAAATATGACATTTTACCATCAGTCCTTCTAAATATTCCTTTACAAGCTATGTACCTTTTATTTCCTTTTCCGATGTAATGTGCTTACTAGAAATTCCAAAACTACGTTGCAAAAAGGGTTTTAAGCTTTAAAAAATAGATTTGACAAAGCTTTACAGAGAAGCCTTAGGAATTATTAATAGAACATCAAATAATAAACCAAAATAATCAATTATGAAAAATTAGGTTTTATTCCTTTCAAAATACCATAAATTCATTCTTGCTAATTCTAAATACCTTTTAAGTCTTTTCATTATGTTACTCTTTTTACAAGACTTAGTCTAATGTTGATATTTTTTTCTTATATAGGAAAAAATACAATTTCTTTTTACCAACACTAACTTTTTCTTTTTTTACAAGTAATGTATTTTTTTATTCAGGGTTCTGAACAAGGTTTAACCAGTCAAGAACAGGCCTTATCTGCTCAGCATGCTGCTGCTGTTAATCTTGCTGGAGTAGGAAGTTTTATGCAGTCACAGGGAGCTGGTTGGTATCTTCTTAACTCCATAAATTGAATTTCCTAAGTATCTAATCTAGTTGGGAATCTCCTCTTTTTAGTTTCTTCTTTTCCTTCTCTTGCAAGCATTAACTAGGAAAAAGTATAGTTGTATTTAATATGTCAACTATTAAATCGACTGATAGCCCGCCAAGATTTTTTTCCATTGACAGTAATTAAAAGTTCTACATATGTTAACAGCAGTTGTGTTTTCCTCGTTAGGATTTGTTGGCAAAATTTTAAACAATTATGCAGCAGCTTATTAAGAAGCTACCAAAGCTGTTTAATTAACTCTTCAGTTTTCCTGGGTTGTTGAGACTGCATTTATAGATTATATAATCTATTGTCTCATTCTGGTAGCTTATAGTTACGCAAATTAAGATCTAATGTCAGTAGCATAACTTCTGTAAGCAACTTTTTTCTCATTTGTAAAAAATGAGATTATACTAAATGACTGCTTACCACTTCCAACAGTAAATGGTAAACCAAAGATTTACCTTTATTGAAGATTGTCTACAAGGACGATACTTTTAACTTCACATTTCATTAAAATCAATAAGCTACATGTATAATAAGCCGTGGTAGTTTGAATGAGTGATCATGTTGGTAACATTATGAATTATCACTAGGCTTACTATACTTTTAGAATCCTGTATAGCTCCCAGTATGTGAATTTAGAACAAGGTCTTATGTACAGTTCTAATTTAGAATTAATGAATTTCCAAATGGAGATTTATGATTATTAATCTACCGCACATTCTGTATTTTCTAAAATGGTGGTATAATTTAGTGGAAAGAACTCTAGGCTGAAAAATCTTACGATCCTTGCTCCAGACCTACCACTAATTGCTTTTGAGTGAGTCACTCAAACCATCTAGGCCTGATATTTCCTCATCTCTATGGGGAAAGGGTTGAACTGATTATTGTGGTCCCACTCAGCTCAAAAAGGAGTAATGCAGTCTCAGTTCACCATGTTTGTTGCTAATGGTATATTCTGGTAACTCATTTCAATATATTTGTTTAAAGCACTTAACGTACAGTATCTACCAGTTTTGTCATTATGGTAGCTTGGATTTCTCCCAATCCCTTTTCTTCTTCACTGGTTATATTTTAAAATAATATACTGCATTTTATATTTTGAAAGAAAGCCTTCTTAACAAAATAGCACTAGTATTAAATTTCATTGAGATGCAGAAAGAGGGATATAGTGCTGAGGCACACCTGTACTCCCTTCCCTTTTATGTCCAGGAAGTTCTATAATCAGTGGTACCCTCAACTAACAGAAGACTAAATTTATTCTGAAATGTCTGTGATTTTTTTTTTTTTTAAGATTAATCATACTGATAACTTTTCTATTATTTCATTTTCTGTGTTGTCCTTTTCTAACCCTGGTAGCCTTCAAACTTTTTGACTGGCCTGCTTTCCCCTTCTCCTCTCTGTAGTGTTGTCTCAGCTTGGCTCTGCCGAGAACAGACCTGAGCAAAGCCTTCCTCAGCAGAGATTCCAGCTCTCCTCTGCCTTTCAACAGCAGCAGCAACAGATACAAGTAATCCAGCAACTTCACTCTGATTACATTTTAAAGATACTCTGCTCCAAAAGTACCTCAAAATACCTTACTTTATAGTTTTATTAAGATTATATATAAATAGGTAAATAATTTAGCCAATTTTATTTAAAAGTCTGACATTTTAGCCAGTCTTCTTGGAGCATATATTTTGTACATACTCTTCCTAATTTAAAATCTTTCATGAAGTGCTGGTGGCACATTAACATCCATTTTTGTAGTTTGCAGTATATTTGAAGATATAGTTGTAAGTGCCAATGGTTAACTTTTTAATATTGTACTGCAGAAAAAGGCAAGTTCCTATTAGTAAATGTCATACCTGTTTTAGAAAAATGTTACTCCATTATTTTAGGAAGTCAGCATATTGTAGTTGACTATCTTTAATATGCAGGGTGGTTTTATATTGATAAGAAGTAGCATACAACAAAATGGTAACTGAAGTTGCTGAGTTACTGCAATATAGACTGGCAGGGCAAAGTAACAGAAATACTTTTGAAGTTTACCAAGAATCATTTTTAAAGCCCTCAGCAGGCTTCTGTGCCACTGGTGCTGTTTGATTGTGCATTGTCTGAATGTGGTATAGTCCCTTTTTGTTATCTTGGTGCTTTCTCCCTTTCAGTTTTGTTTTCATCTCTCAGGAAAAGCACCTTTTCATATCAGCCTACATTTAACATAACTTGACTTTTTTGTTCCTTCCGTTTTGCAGCAGTTGCGATTCTTGCAGCATCAAATGGCTATGGCAGCAGCAGCAGCACAAACAGCTCAGCTACATCGTCATCGGCATACAGGCAGCCAGTCAAAAAGTAAAATGAAGAGAGGCACGCCAACCACTCCAAAATTCTGAGTCTTGCATTTTTTTTTTTTTTAAACATGAGCATCGAATCAAAAGGTTGAGTTTATACTTCATTTTTGTTTTTTTTAAAATGTGTCAGTATTTGACATTGCTAGATGTACAAAGTATACAGAAGCACAACCCTCTGATTTTTGAAAACAGGGAAATGGTTTAATGAACCATTAGGGTTGGTTTGCTTAAGGTACTGCTTTTTCAGAATGGTTTCTTTCACTGTACATAACATAGAAGTGGCCTAAGAAATACTAGTATGAAACATCTTTCAGAAGAATGTAGTTTGATATTTATTTAGTGTAAAAGGTTTGTGCACAGCGTTAACAAATACAGTTTTTACAAATGTTTTGAAAATGTGCTGGTTGTTTATTTGGGTGTCATACTCTTAATTACTTCATCCATCAGTTTTTTTACTTCTTTGTGTCTTGTAACTGCTCGGCTCATGCAGTCCTGAAGTTTACCTCCAGTTAGCCCACTTCCACCTGAAAAATTATTGTGCCAACACTTAATACCTGTTATTTTACTTATAACGATCAACATCATGTCAAACAAAATTCAGTAATGTAAACCAGAGGCATGGTCTCAAGGTTTGCAAGTTATGTTTTAACAAGACCTCCAAGTGATTCTAATGCATGACATAAGTTTAAGAACCTCTGGTAAACAGTATAAAAAAGCAAGGAATTTGAGATAACAAAAAAACTATCCTCTAAACTTGCATTAGGTAAACAGTAAAACATCCCATGTTCCATTGGCCTTTGCTATCGTAATATAAAGAAGTTCACAATGAATTTTCATCTACATATTTAGGACCGAAACAGAAGTAACATGCCTGGTTTGTGAAGACAACATAGCTTGCTTTCCTCATCCATCACCACTGTTAGAGTTCCAGTCGCCAGATGTTCCTCCTCTGCAGTAGGGTCAACTATGAGCAGAGTGCTATTTAAAAAGTTTTTAAGTGTAAGTTATCTATTAAATTTTATTTTAGGATAGTAAATATGCAATTTTTAAAATACACGTGATTAACTTACTCATCAAACACCGCAAAGGAAGTTGCAACTGGATGAGTTCTAATGTTCAAACAACTTTTCTTCTTTAAATTAACTTCTGCTAAAGCAGTTTCTTCATTTATAGTAACTTCAGGCAATTGTACTATAAAAAGTAAATATGCTAAGTAAGTCTCCAGTTTAAGTAACAGATGTGGCTTTCTATGCTTCCTTAATTTACTTTTACCTAATGTTTAAGTTGTCCAGAAGTATTCTTTTTAAAAATTTATCTTAAAACAAGGTAAATACAGTATATATAAATGTTATTCTTTAATTTAGAAACGCTAGAATGATAGCTAAATTTGAAAGTTTAACAAAACAGACAACATTCTGACACATTAGTAGGAATATTGCCTTTTATTAAGGTTGCTTACCATTTTTTAAAGCTGCTAACAAAGCAAACGTACAGGCATCCAAAATATTTCCATCATAGTCGAGGCAAATGAGATCACAGTAGAGTACCCAAGCAAGCTAAAATAAAGTTTACACAAAGTTACTGTAAAATAAACCTGGTGAGTAGAACATAATATTTGTATCAACTTACCACTTACCACAGAACCCGTAGACAAGCAAGATAACCTTCAAGGCTCAAAAACTTAACCAAAAACAAAAAATCCCTTTTACCTTTATGAAGTAAAAAACCAAAAGAGTGGACAGGTTTGATAAAAGCTGGCCTTTGATTACCAAGCTAACAAGTGACATACATTTCCATTCCTATTGCCAAGTTAGCAGATGAGAATACTTCTGAAAGTCCCAAATGAAAATCAAAATGTACCTTCCCAAGGAAACCTTAATATGTGAAGTGTTTTAGCATGCGAATCAATATATAATCAAATGAGAAAAGCCTGCAGGTTCTTCTAATCAACTTAGTTCTAAGTTTCCAAACAGACTTGGAAATTTACAGTGTATATATTCATTCAGCTAAACACATTAGCTGATCAGGTATCAATAACTGCTATAAGATAGAATAAAAAATGAATGTTTGCTGTAGAAGGCAATTAGTTAAAATTGGTGGTTTTTTATGAACTACATAGTTACAGGATAAGACATTTTTACTGAATTCCATCTAAAAACAACACATCCATATTTAAGGCCTCTGGTTTATTTTAATTTCCTTGTTCACTTCTAACCACAAGAAACACTTTATAACTAATAAAAATTCATATATAGCTTCTTTATTCCTCTTACCTTTCCTGGAGAAATGCATAAGTCTTCTTTCTGAATTATCTGTGAACTTGATTTAATGACAAAGAGCACAGTAAATGAAAGGTCAAAACTATCCGAAAATGAATGACAGTCATAGTTTAAAATGACAACTATCTTACTTTTCAATGACATCTGCAATGAACTGGCTAGCCACTTGGGCCTCTTCTCCAGGAGGTCCAGACCGAAATCTCGATGAACACAGAGGTGGTAGATCCACATTAGGAACTGAAAGAAACACTCTGCAGCTATAAAATCAACTTCACTTCTGGTTTATGGAAGTGTTATTAAATTGATCTACTGAAAGGCAAATGTAGCCACAGACAGGCTTTTCCAAGTGGAAAAAATTGTAACGTCAATTATATTATTTTTGGTCTTTATAAGACTTTTAGGCTTAGATAAAATAAAATTTTACTTTTTCAACTTTTCACCCGCATAAATAATACCAAAAAGAACAAAAAGCATTTATTTAAGGCCTAATTCTTCACAACTTTTCTAGATTTTTTTTTTTTTTCCCAAAATACCTCAACCTATAACAAGATAGCCCCTTTATCATACTCAGTTCTGCATTTTTAAAATGTTGGTTCCTACTATAGGGAACAGGTGATCCAAGTCAAGAAAAAATGGTCTAATTGAATCTTTATGGAAACAGAAAAGTTTGCAATTACAGCCCTTTGCCTAAGATTCTATTTTCTTGGTTGTTGACATGTATAAGCAAAAATTGATCAAACAAGTTTGAAAATTATACAGAATTCTCTACTTCGCTATTATGCTATCATACACAGAAAACTTCAAGAATGTCTGCTTCATTCCTGTATATATTTCTGATTCTTAATTTCTTAAAATCAACTAGTAGGACTTAAGTACAATATTGGCATTAAATGTGTTAAAGTATTTATATTAAAATTACAAAACCATTTAGCTTACCAACATATCCTTTATCAGGGGCATCTGTTGGTGGTGCTGCAAATTCCTATCGAAGCAAACAAATGTTTCCTATGAAAGAAACTACTAAAAAATTGTAAAGACACCTTAGTAGTCAGTTATGAAAGGCTCTACCAAAGACCTTATTATCTAGTTAACTACCATATCATCTATGCTTTGAAGTCGTGTCGGGGACTCTGGACATTAGCACCAGTCCTCACATTAGCTCTGCAGGGTAACAAGGCAATAACAGCATAGTCCCCTATACTGCTGTGCTACTCATCAAAATTACCTGGGGCTTGTTTAAATACACTGGATTTCTGCTCCACCCTTATTTCCATTCAGTCAGTAACCGAAAATTGAATTTAAACCCCAAAGTGATATAGACACAGCCAGATTTAGGAACTGAGCAAAGGCTGTGGAATCAGGGGGCTCAAATGTCAGACTCACACTGTGTAAGTTACTTAATCTCTTACCATTCAATTCACTCATCTGTAAAATGGGAAGTTAATGGGCTTACTTTTAGAGGCTGTTAATGAGGATGAAATGAGATAATGCTGTTCTAACATGAAACCTGGCAGTTAAATGCTCAAATCTTGTTAGATACCACCCAAATTTACTAAAGAATCTCAACTTGCGTGCAGTAAGTCAGAGTAGTCAAAACAGGCTCTAGAGTCAGAGTCTTAAGTTCTATTTGTGAGCCTTATGTTCCTGAACAAGTTACCAAACCTCATGTAAAACAGGAGACAGTGAAATTATACCTCAAGTGATTGTTCTGAGGATTAAACTAGTTAATTCTTTAAAACACCTAACATAAGTTGCCTGGAACACAGGTACTCAGTACATGGTATCATTCCCACAACCTTTACTTTTGAACAGTTTCCATTTTCTATACATTAACACAGAGTAAATGCCATCAGTGGATAAAAGGATGTCACCAAAAATCTCTTGTCAAATGACAACTAAATTCTTTAAAAAGGTGGTGAGGATTTAAAAAATTGATTTCAGTACATTCAGCACATGTTCATAAATTATAATCGAGTCATTAAACTTGGGTCGTATTATCTAATACTCAAAGATCTGACTGCCAAAACAGTAGAATTACGAGTATATATTATAATCTAATAGTATATGAAGCTAATTTGGTAACTCAAAACTCATTAAGAATATATTAAACTTACTGCTTTAATTCCACAAATAACTGTTGTATTTCCCAGCTTCACTAAAGCAGAACCATCTGCAGTACTAATTGAACCTGAAAAGATATTTAAGCAAAATAAAGTCCATAGAAAGTTTTCATTTTCTATATATTATATCTTGTTACATATCTCGGCTGCTTATGAAAATGTATTCCTGGCTTGTCTTTTTTTTTTTTTAATTATTATTTATGCTTACAGCATCTGGTCTTCCTAGGTGGTCTCCCATTCAAGTACTAACCAGGCCTGACCTCGCTTTACTTCACGAGATCAGACATTAGGCTTGTTCAGGGTGGAATGTCCGTAGACCATGGACCATGGCTCCACTGGGGCGTGAACCCAAGACCTTTTGCATGTAAAGCAGATGTGCTAACAGTCACACTATAGAACCATGTCCATAGCTCAAGTCTTTTTAAAGTGGTATAACTACTTAAAACTATTATTTTAAAAATTATTCACCTTTCCTTGAATTTGAGTCAGTCATTATTCATTCAGTTACAGGACTACTGTACAGGTAAAAATCTCATAACAAAATTACTGGAGTCCCTTACACATAGTAGAATCTGGCTGAAATACTGTTTAAGTAGCTCAAAGAATAAAATTTGGAAATGCCATACAGATAAAACTAGAAAATTCCATGTTTGCGACAAAGTTTAATAAGTGTAAGACATAAAAAAAGCCATGTCTTGGAGATTTAGAAGGAAGGGGGAAAATGCTTTAAACTTTAAAACTTTAAATGAAGAACAATTCAATTGAGAGACTACTGAATTTACAAATAAAAATTCTTTACTAATATTAAAAAAAAATTCTGTTTTCAAAACTGAAGCAACTTCAACATTCTATTTTAGAACTCAAAATATCCTTACCTATGTTGACAGTTGTGGTTCTGAATTCACCAAGTTCTCTTCCATCAGGACGGCAGTTCTCTTTCTAAGTAAATATACGTGAAAGTAGATGATAACTACATGTATATTTTACACACAACTAGGTAAAATATATTAAACCTTGTTAATTGAAATTACTTGAAATTTTGAGTTATAATTGACATAACAGTTTCAGGTGTACAATGATACAATTTGATACCTGTATATATGAAAATTGTCTAAAAGAAGCATATGATATTGTTATCAAAAGGCATAACATGTATATAACCACCTTTACTCACCAAAAATCTCCTGTAATACTCCAGAGGTTCCACAGTTCTGAAACGTGTTAAAAATATATCCAAGGTAAGCTAATGAATCTTAACATAAATCCAGACACTGGCAGATTTTTAAAGTGTAGTGATGCAGCATAAATCTCCTGAATGTGTAAGTTTCTCTCATAAATTCTGATACTTACTGTTGACGTATAACTTAATTATAAAAAGTAGATACCCTTGTAGCAATCGCTCAACTGCTGTCATTAACTCTACCTTTAACAATTACAGGATTGGAGCCCAAAGCCCTGGGCATCTTTAAAATATTAATCCAGGTGTTTCAAAGTCACTCTCGCTCTGAAGCAGATTCTTAGGAAGTTACATTTTTATTTTATTTAGCATATTCTTTAATTATGACTAGGTAATAAACCATTATAATATTAGTACCTGTGACTTTTAACAACCACAGTATATTTTTGTTTTTACTTAATAGTTGTCGAAAGTGTAGGCTCAGGTACTTTGAAATTCCACGAGTTACAACTGGACTCCCCAATAGATCTTGTTTAACAAAATTAATTTTAAAACAAGTATATGTACATCATTATATCATGAACTCGAGAGTTTATACCAATAGAAACTTTAAATGTAATTGATTTCCTTTGGAATCTTATTTACCCATTTAGAAACTTGACAACGAAAATCTATAGGCTTTGCCAGAGTGGCGCGCGCGCGCATTCACACACACACACAAAGGCTTAGGTAGAATCTTAACATGGCGCAATCCTTCCTTTTAGAAATCAATTACAGGAGAGGGCGAATAGAGTGGCATGTGATTCTGATACAGCACTTTTTAAAAGACTACAATTGTGTCTCCTGGAGCTGCACGTCCACTACACACCAAGCCACAAGCGCTCGCGGCAGGTACAGTACGCACAGTCCCTTCTATCTTCCCGTCTCACCGATGAGAGGAAACCTACGCCCCTTTCCTCTCACCATGACCACCTCCAGGTGAGAAAAATCCCTGCTAAGGGTTAAAGGAAGCCGCTATCCGCCAGGGTACAAACTCTCTCCAACCAACAACACTCACTTGAACCCGGCCGCCATCTTTCCGCCTGGGCGCCTGCGCCGGAGCGACGCCGCGCCTGCGCCGCAGCAACATCGCGCCTTCGGGCCGCGCGCCGGCCCAGCCTCCACACTTTCGCCGCGGGCGCCAGCGCTCTTCCCCCGCTGGAGGGCACACGTTCTAGCCATACGCCCGTCTGGGATTCCTTGCGTTCTATGCGTTTTGACGAATCTGCTGTTATAGAAGCGATAAGCTTCTCTCTTTAGAAATAGTTCAAGACTTTAAGAGAAAAATCGACCTTATAGCAAATGGTCCAATATTGAGTGTGAAGCGTTATTCTAATGTTTCTGCATCCTTTTCCCGTCACTGTCTTACCCTAGCTCCGGGTTTTCCTTCTCTCAGGTAAAGGGCTCCCTGCTTCAGCACCGGTGATCACATAAATTTTCTGTGCGTTTATTATCCGCACCAGGTTACACGTTGGTGGTCCCCGAGCGGGCTCTAGAGGGGCGACTTGTGTTGTTGGTTGTGTCAAGACTCAAGGCTTCCACCTCCTTCCCGGGTAGGGTGGCCAGATAAAATTCAAGACATCCAATTAAATTTAATGTCAGCTTTGAAGTAAATTTTTAGTACTTGAGTATGCACCAAATTGTTATGAGGCTAGTGGGAGCAAGGAAAGTTTTAGAAATAGTGGTGATGGTTGCAGAAAATTGTGACTGTAATTAATGCCACTGTACTGTACACTTAAAGTGGTCGGTTAAAATAGCAAAAAAAAAAAAAACAGTTTAAAAAAATTATGTATTATACCAGAAACTTTTAAATGGGTGGGTTGTATGGCATGTGAATTCTATTTTAATAAGGCTTTTAAAAAACTATTAGTTGTTTATCTGAAATTCCAATTAAGTGGACATCTTGTATTTTAACTTGCTTATTCTGGCAACTACTTTGCGACAGTGCACCTCCCTCCCCACGGACTAAGCGCCGGGCACCCAAGAACTGCGTATTCTTCGCCTGGCCGCGCGAGGGCGCTGTGGGCG